TCAAAGGAAATCTAGAGGAGACTTTTTTTTAAAAACCCATTACAGGCTGCAAAACCTCATAGTGAAATAAAAAGTCATGTCTGTGAACATTTTCTTTTCTCTTGGATTTATTTTTCTTTCCATCATTTTTACTTTGTGTGGTCAGCTCTTTTAAATCCCAATAAAATTTAAATATAAAGAACTACATTTATTGCTTGATAATGAAATTATTCTAAATTTTAAAAGGAAAAGGGGTTAGGGTGACTGTTACATTTTGGTCAGTTTTTGAATCAGCTAGTGGCTGTTTGTTATTTGCAGACTAGAGTAATTGCATGTTTCTGCTCTACAGCAGTGATAAAGACAAACAGGAAGAGAGGACAGATTGCTGCGTGACAGAATACATTTTTCCAGAGGAGGGAGGATTAAGGGGCCTTATGTCAGAGCATTTATCCCCCCCTGCTGTGATTATACAGAGGGTTGGTGGGGGGGTTCAGATGAGGGACAGAGGGTTTGGCAGCTAGCGCCCTCATCTGGTCAACAGCTTAAACAGCACCCAGGGAACTTCATGTTCATAAACCAATATATTAACTTCAAGTAGAGAACTAAATTTATACAAACTAATTAAGTTATTGTGGAAAAATAGATTTATTTAATCAGAGACTCAAAAAAGAAATTAGACCAACTCAATAGATGCTTCTTTTTCAGCTCAATTTCAGACAAAAGGAATAAAAAACGAATGTGCTCAACAAGCTTCCCAGAGGGGAGAGAAAACACGCCTCCTGCTGGCCACTCCTGCAGAGATGAGATCTAATCAGATTTTCTGTTGAAAGAGAATTTATTTTTCCATTGCACGAGGCTCTCTCTCGCCTTTTTGGTTGGTTATTCTCTTTAAATGTTTTCTGACAGAGACATTATGGTTTGATTATGAATAACTAAATCAGTGATTCTTATAAACACCATCATCATTCTGAGGAAATTCTTCACGCACAAAGCTGAAAACCTTTAAACCCAACCTAAACATTTACTATACCTCAGTACTTATAGAAAGATGCATAAGAAGAATTAATTCAATATTTTTTCTTTAATAAAAAATTTGTAAGAAGCTAAAATCCAGCTTTATTTATTCCATCTTTCTTCTTCTTTTTTGTTTGTATCTTGTTTTAATTTGTGTTGCATTTTAATTGCATCCCTCCTTGCAACTTCTGTTCATGCTTTTGCATTATGTCTTCTTATTTGTAAATAAATATTTTTCTGCATGTTAGCTTTATTAAAAATATGATTTAAAAGGCGTGATACAGTACAGTGAGGCCACACTGACACCTTGTGGAATTATGTGGAAAGCTAAAAGATTTACTTAAAGTTCAATGGTGGAAAAACATCATTTTGCATAATATCTCATTGGACTTTAAAAAAAAAAAAGGACATTATAATGCCGAAAACTATAAGTGACTTAGTTGAACAGCTATAAAAGCACCGCCTAAAGTTTAATTGGTCCTTAAAGAACATTTTGTTTCTCTTCTTACCATAGCTCCAAACATACAGTGTTGCGAAAAAACAGTCACCTATTTCAGATTTCTTTAGCTATTGCTTTATAAAATTACATTTAAAAGTTTCTGAATAAACTTTGACATCAAATATAAAAAAAAAAAGTGTAGAAAACAGTTTTTAAAAAATGGTTTTATTTAATACAGAAGAAAAAAACAACTTCCAACCAATTTGGCCCTATATGTTGGGTAAATATAGCCTGGGTGCCAGTCCGAACTTAGTCCCGCCAGGCTAGGGTAAATATATTTCAATTAAAAGAAGAAAATCCATTCAGTTTATTTATTAAGGTGCCGATTCACAACATATCATCTTAAGGCACTTTCCAGGGACATATCCATCAAACCACACAGTCAGGCAGTTTTTTTATTTATTTATTTATTTCAGATGAAATAAAGGGTTTTTGATAATAAATGGCCATTGAAATCACATAGCAGAAAACCTCAATTATAGTGCAGACTTTGACTAGGAAAAATAAAACCTGTTTGTTTTCTGAAGCAACCAGGGTTGGAGTTTCTGTTTTATATTCCAAGTGTGCTTAAGGTTAACGTCACTTAGGGATTTTTCGACCAGCAGCTAATTATTTCAATATTTTTTTAACAGATCATTTATGTCCTGATGCAGGGAAAGCTGCTCCAGGTCTCCACAGTACTACCACCATGTTTGCCTGAAGTTTTAATCCTGTTTTCTGGGACCGGTCTTTTTCAGCGGCAGCACCCCAACTTTGGAATAATCTTCCACAAGAGTGTTTCCTCACCTCCATCCAAAATACTTAATACTAAGTGCAAGATTTATCTTTTTAGATAGGCTTTTAATCCCATTTAGTGCCCTTTTACCTTTTCTAATGTGAATCTTTTCTTTTTATAATGTCACTTTTTTTGCATTTTCATTGTAAATTGCTTTGGCCACCTCAACCAGCTGTTGTCAAACTCTTTATAAAAATCAATCATATTTCCTCCATTTGAAAAAATAATTTTGGGGTTCAAGTATCCAAAAAAAAAAAAGTTCTACTGCCTGTATATTGACAAACAGCTACAATTTACAAATTTTAAAAGCAGCTGAAACTCTTACATTCAAACTAGATTGGGTGAATATACTATTAAGCATCTATTTATTCAGACATCATTTAGCCACAAAAAAAAAAAACAGGTTCAAGATTTGAATGATACATTTACTTATGCATATCTAGTAATTATCCACTCGGATTGTATAAAGTATGTTTTTTACTTTTGTGTCCAAGCAGGTTGTTCTCACAGATTTTAAATGAAAGAAATAACATATTAACAGCACCAGTCGAAAGTCGGAACAGGCCCACTAGTTCAGTGGTTTGGTTTTATTTTTTAGGACTTCCTCTGGTATCTCATTAAAGACTGAGCAAAACAAGAGGATGTGTTTTAAAGAATGTAAAACAAAAAACATGACATATGTTTAAGGTTTGCAGAAATCAAAGAAGGAACAAGGAATTTCCAAAAAATTCATTGATAATGAATATTTGAAAACGATGAACTTTTTCTTTTACATTTTAACTCCAAACCTGTTTATCAGGGGTTTATACGATAGAGCAACACAAAATAGCGGAGTGAATCGGATTAAAAAGGTGAGGTCTGAATTTTCTCACCCCCTATATAGCACTTAATATATGTAGTGCTTTAAACTGCTTTCAGAAAGACTTTATGTAGTAAAACAACTAAGAACATATCCCTCTGAAAACAGTTCTCCATATTGAAGAAGGGTAGTGGCAGCATCATGCTAAGGGGAAATTTTTGAACGTTCGTTAACAAATTGGAAAAATACAAGGGATGTTCTTTGAAAACATTCACAAACGTTGTGCTAGTCCACAAAAACCATCTAAAATATATTAAAAGTTAGTGATTATAACTGGACAATTCAGCAAAGAAGTAAAAAAAGGCTATTTATGCATGAACTGAAACAGAAGGTAACCAAAATTTAAAAATAAAATTAATTTCAAAACAATTTGCATTTTTCAAACTGAAACCTGCTTTCTTGTCTCCTTTTTTTAAAGCTTACAACAATGATTCCTATATTTCCTCCTAAGACACAACCAAAGAAAAGAAATCAGCATCACACGTGTACATATTGAATGTTTTATTAAAAAAGAAGTTATAACAGTTTATTTTATACACAACTATTTATGAGATTATAAGCCTGTTAACAGAGAGCAGTTGTCTTTTTTGACAAGCATGCTCACTTCACAATGGGGGGGAAGGGAAAATAAGATTATCAAATTAAGACCAAAATAAACCTCTTGGAAAAAAACAAAAAAACATCAAAAAATAAAACCTTTGACTTTTTGAATCCTGCAAGTATCACACAAAAGGTACCAAATACATCAGTTTGTTGTTGTTTTTTTTAAACTTACATGTTCAACGCTGAGTGTGCTTGATAGAAGGACCTGATGATGGAGTAGGAGTGCCTGGAAAGGGTAACAAATCCATACAAGCACCAACAATTGAGTGAAGGTGTGCACTGAGAAGCATGCAACTCCTAGATAAAACAGTCAACACAGTGGAAGGAGAGAGGCTGTTGTTTCTGTGTGGATGGAATCGGGTGTGCTAATAGAAAACAGGGCTTTCAATGTTTGGCTTTGAGCTCCTCGTCCTTTTTATCCAACAGGATGTGCAGGTGAGCACCTTTTTCCTGATCTGCAAGTTTATGGTCAAAATTATGAGGTTTGCCTTTTGAGAATCTGTTCGCACTAAAAAAGTCATTATTTAACAGCCCTTAAAATAGAATCTGCGAGTTCAAGGTCATAGAAGAGATCAACATTTTATTTCTGTTTAACTTGAGCCAGAATTAGCAATTTCAGAACATCTTCCTATAGTTTTTATGTAGAAAAAACAAAAACAAAAAACACTGGGAGTTAGGCAAATTAAACCAAGATTCTCCAAGATGGAAATCAATGTCGGAGAACTAGAAGCCTTAATGCTCAGCTGATGCAAAAAGGAAGGAAAAAAGAAGTGATCCGTCTCTTATTTGGATAAAGCAAGAGAAACTTCCTTTAATGCTTTGCATCATAGTTGGTTTTACACAGCAGCTGCAGCACTCAAGCATTACAACTCCAGCCAGTATTTGTTTCCAAAGACAATTTGGACAAAGTTATAGTTTCCCCCTGAAGACAATAACATGCAAAAGGGGGAAAAATGTGTAAATTGTTTTATAGCCGACACAAAGCTAAAGAATTGCAGGATTATCAGTACGAAGGTGTCCCTTTGATGTTATATCGGTATTTTAATGAACTCAAATGAAGAGCAATGATGTATTTGACGTTCTTCTTAATTTTGATGCATTTAATGAACAGATTTGACCTGCAGATCCAAACGGAGAGATAATCAAAGGAAAAGGAGGATTTTAATCTCCGTATTGATTCATGTTTACCCTGGGTTATTAAAAAAACAAATTTAACATGTAGTCAGGACGAGTCAGTTTTTAAATAAAAAAAAAGTGAAAAAAGTTTTTTCTCTTTGTAAGGGTGAAGAGCCGTATGTAACCTGGACACATGGAACATCTTGAAACTGAACACTTTTGCCAAAAGCTCCACAGAGCTGCAGACGTAAATCCTCTGTTACAAACTGAAAACAATACAAAACAAAGTCATGTCTCTGCATTCAAATGTGTTGACGTTTAAGAGCACAAAACAGTGGAAAAAACAGTCTGATAGAAAAAAAGATCGGAGCCACATTTCTGCTTTCTGTACAAGTTAAACCCATCACAATCACTATAGCTTAAAATAAAATTTGCCTAGTTTGAAATCGCTCACACTCAACTGTACAAGCTCGAGTGGGTTCGTCTATATGGTCATATGAGCGTGAAAAATCAGATGAATAAAGAATGTCTTATTATCAGGAAGGTTTACCCAACTACAAATCTATCTATCCTGCTGTAGCGAAAACAAAGCTCAACAATGGCTGCTTTTTTTTTTATACGTCCTAGGTGAAATATGGTTAACCACGATGTAGAACAGAAGGTAACTGTACTTCAAACATCAGCTATGATAAACCTGGGTCACTTCTAAATCATTTTTTGTCAGCTCAAAGACATCAAAATTGAATTGCACCAAGAAAAAAAAAGTTAAAAGAATGTGCTTTTCTAGAATACAAGAATAATCCTAGACTTCCATGGCTTCTTAGGGACATGGTTTTGCCACTGAATTCCTTGATGCAGTAATGAGGCACAGAAGGGGGGTTGACATATGATAAATCATAAATATTTGACTAAATATCAATGTTTTGGAATAGACTTGCACCAAATTTCACTCGTTTTAATGTTCTTTACCAACTAGACAAATATCTTTTCTATCAGGTTGAGGAATGCCAATTGTCTACGTAAAATCCTTCTCAAAGGTCTTATTCCATCTGCAACCAGATCCAGAATGCCTCTCGTCGGGTTACACAGCACAGGTCAGACCGATTACGGAGGGTACGGATAGCAGCAGCGGAATGTGAGACGGACTAACCTGTATGGAGCAAACACACAAACCAAGGAACAAAGGGCACTCTTCTTTTTCACTCATGTCAACCAGAACAACTTTGCAGTTTAAAACTCACTTTGACGCTAGTTTTCATTTGCAAAGGGGGACAACCTGCTTTCTGACTTATAATGATCATTTTATTCTAGAAAAATAAAACAGAACAAAAGCAAGATTCAGATTACAGAAAGACTGTAGTCTAATTTTTACCAAATAAGATGTAAGCTGAAATCAATTACCCAAAGCAACCCATGTCTTCCTGTAATGAGACATGCATCCATTTGTTTTCCAAGATCTGCTGTTTTTTTACACCAAGAAGGTCAAAAACTAATACAAAAAATATGTAACATCCAACACAGCACCTAAAACTGAAAGAAACCTTGTTATTCCAGACTGTTCTTCATTAACATGTTACCAAAGATATGCTTAGCAAACACTCTGCAGTTATTCATGAGAGTCTATTGGACCTGTGCGTCTTAAAATAGAGTTTGGTAACCTGAATAAAATAAGGGTTTCGCCCCATTTGCTTCAGCCTCGACAGCAGTCAGAAAGTGCGAGTGACCTGGAAGCAGAGCTACCAGCACAGCAGAGAGGGACAGGGAGAACTGCAGATTGGGTTTGTTTAAAATTTGCAAGCAAAGCCCGCTTTTGTCTCCAAGTTATCAAGTCCTGCTTTATAAATACTGTCTGAAATAGATGGGAGCACTTTGGCAAGCTGGCCAAACTGCTTGGAAACGGCAAATTAGCAGGGAGAATTTGAAGGCTTGGGGAAAATGTACAATATCGGACAAATGCAGCATAGATTGTGAACGCCATCGGGGAGAAGAACTACAGAGAGGAAGGGGCTTCTGTCAAAACAAACCAAAGGCTATATATTCATAAAAATCCTTGTTTAGTAGTAAGAATAAAAATTAAAAAAAAAATCAACTTGTTTAAATATGAATATTATAAGTCTGCTTTCTCGCGGTTAGGAAATCAAATATAGTCTCTGTGGGGGTTGAAGGAAGGGAGTGATTGGGCGGGAACCCTTTTATTACTACAACTCCATGTCCTGGGCTTCGTCTTCTGAGAAATCAGACATGGAGCTTTCAGATGAAGAGTCACCGGTCCCTTCCTCCTGCTCCTTTAGAGCTTCCTCTGTTGCATATTTCTGAATGTACTCTAAAAAGAAAAGAAAGAAAAAAAAAACATACATTACAAAAATATCAGAGCATTTTTTTCTTTGCAACTTTAGTAGATCTAACCTTTGATTTTCTGTTTGTACTCCTCTGGCCGATGAAGGTACATGGCAGCTGCATCTCCGTTAAGGGGGTCGATGGGGTTTGGGTAAGCCAGCAGTTGGGGCAGGAACGATTCAAAGATGTTGGTCAGATCTGGGCATAAAACAAAGAAACAAAATGTGATATTAATGGTCAGTTAACTGTTAGGTTAATGTAGGAGACACACTGTCTGAAAGGTAACAGCAGCTTAGGACCAATATTGGCCAAACGGTTGCATCCATTAAATGAGCACAGTCATGGAACACACTGCCTTCTCATGTTATTAGCTGTGCAGCATAAGTTTTAAAATCTCCTTGAAATATTGGTTGAAAACTAACCAGACATGTGTTCACAAGTCAATTGATCCATTTCCTTGGGCCTGTTAACCAAATTTTATTCTAACTTTATCTTTGCGTTTGTTTTCACTCTAAAAATAAATATATGGATACATTAAGCTGACATGATGATAAAAGTGTATTGTCCTAATTCAAATAAATAAATAAAATAATAAAAGTGAAGTGTCAATCAGGATTTTGGTCACTTTGATTCAAATGAAAAAGAGGGGGAAAAAAACAAAAACAAAAAAACAGTAATCTGGGCTTCCAGCACTTTGAAACATTTAAAAAGTATTCTTAGTCCTATGAGTTTCACATTATTTTTGTCCATTATTCAGAAAACAGCTCAAATTCACTGATGGAAAGCATCTATCGACGGCTATATTCAAGATATGAAATGTGTTCAACTGGAAACAAGACCGTACTTTGACTAGGCCAGTTTCATTGAGCTTCCATTTAAGCCCAGTGTGTCTATTTCAGGTGGTTTTCCTGTTAGTAGGTGAAACTCCACACAGCATTAAGTCTGTTGCAGCCCTCAATTGGTCTTCCAGTATTTCCCTGCAATAGTTGCCAAGCAATGTTTACAGAAATGCTTTCTTCTCTCTCCGTCTGTTAAGCAGTGATCCTGTTGCCTGCTTTTCTAAGCTAATGAATTTCTTACCCTGCCTGTCAGTTTGAGTCTGGCTGTTTCACAGTTGGAGTCTCTTTCCATGTCTAGATTTTATGCTGAGATGTTTAAAACTTAGGATACTATTTTATGATCTAACGCTCTTGAATTTATTTCACAATCATCAATTCATGGTTAGCTGGTTATAAAGTTTCAGTATCCCCTTACAAACTTGGCTTATTACAAACTTTGAACCACATAAAAAAAAAAAAATCAACAACAGCTAAACAAACTTAATTTATAGTGCTTCTCTATTCATGCCAACACTATAGCCATCAAATTAGACAATAGAGGAAACAGCCACATTTCGGCAGCTCCTGCCCTGCTGGATAATATTCTCTTGCCTGCCTGTCTGTGCAGATGGAGGGGTCCTAGTCTCTCCAGTTAGGTGGTTTCCACTGAGGGTTATCAAAGTAAAGAGGAATGAACAGAAATACTTTACAGATTTCTGATATTTGTGCTCCTAAAATGCCTTGGGGTTGTTTTTATTTTACCATTTAAACACCATTTTGGTGGTTTATCACATAACCCTTTGTGGCTCTAATATAAAAAAAGATGTAAAAAAAAAAAAAGTTAAGGTGTTAATACCTTTGAAAGGTGGTGTATTTAGAATCCATAGTCAGTAGATAAAATAGACTCGACTCTGGTGGCAAATTCAAAAGAATCTGCATTTCTCTACTTTACCACTCGGTGTCACTGTTGGGTTTGTTCAGTTTCCCTTTTCTTTTAAAAGTGTTTTCGAAATATATTTAGTATCTCCTCCTTTGCAGGAAAGCATTACAGCCAATTCATTGTCTATTGCCATATTCTACAGACATGCCTCTCCAAAGGGTTTCCATTCTTCTAAAATTAAGCACAAAACACAAACGCCAATCAAGCTCTTCTGCCAACCTGCTCAGTTGTTGTAAACTCCAATCCAGCTCTCATATGAGGACATAAGTTATAATTAACAGGATTCAATAGCCACTTTAGCTCTGGGGCGACGACATGAAAAGAAACTAATGCGAAAGAAATAAGAGCAAACCATCTTACAGCTGGGAAACTGTGAATCATCTGTGTCTAAGGTGAACGTTTCCTGACCTTGGTGGGTGAGAGCATTACGTTATTAGCGTTTACTTTTCCCTCAGTAAGTAGATTAAGACCAACAGCGGCTGCCTGCTTTGCTCAAAGACCTGCTTTTTCTTTTTTTCCCTTGTTACACTGATTGTATCACTGAAAATTATCCACATGGGTCTGAGTGGGAGGATTTAATCTAAACGTGTGTGTATGTGCAGCCATTTACCGTAAAGAGCTGTCCATGTCTGATTGATGACATCTAAGCACACTGTTCCTGACCTGAAAAGCAAGAAAGAGTCAAGTTATGAGCCAGCTTACCACTTTGAAGCTCAGTCTTTCTTCCAAAACAGACAAAAAATGCTTTAATTATTTTTTTTTTCATAATTAGTTTACATACAGGCTAAGATATATATATTGTTGTCACTAACAGCTGAAGAATTTTTCTTAGCAAGATATACCTGGACCACAACCACCACAACTCTGGTATGGGACCAGTCTTCTTGGCAGAATCAGTTGAAATAATTTTAACTGGTGGGTTTTCAATTCTACAGCATTAACCTTAGCTGTTTAACACGAGTTTCTGATCGTTTTAGATCATTAGCCTTGTGAAACAATAAACTATGTTTGAACCTCAGCTGTCTGACCTGAGCCTCTTCCTTTAGATAATAAGAGGTTATTGAGGTTGTTCTAGGACAATCCAGGAACCCCCAATGCTATTTTTTTTCTATGATATTCACACACACCAATGTCACCATCCAGTTAGACCAGTTTTACACCAACCAGACGTCCTTGCTTCCCAGCGACTCATTAACTGGAGTCAAGGTGAGGCCTTCAAACTTAATACAATTGGGACACAACAAGGTGTCAAACATCAATGATCCCAAACACAAATCCAGGCTGCTCTAGAATAGATACAGCAAGCTAATATGAAGCATTTTAGATGGTTGTAGCGAAAAAATTAACCTTAACTTTACAAAAAATGTGCAAACTAAGATTTAAAGACAAATTCTACCATGATCATATTTCTATGTACCTGCTTATATTATTGTGACAAAATCCAGAGCTGCATGCTTTGGATTTTGTCAGGTGCATCCATCTTGTGCAAAGAAGAAATTATTTTTTTATTGTGCACAGCTGCTGACAATTCTTTTCTTGATAAAAGACGACCTGGAGCATTACTGGATGCAGATTATCCCCATATTAACACAAAGCACATTATCAATGCTTCACAGAAAAGGGGCGAAGTAAATCTGATTAGCTTAAAATAAAAACTTATTTGTTGAATGATTAGAAAACATCATGAGGAGCTTTGTCCAACATTCTCTATGCTTTACTAACTCTGCATGAAGCTTTGCTTTTTACATTGAACCTGAGCAGTGTAATTCAATTAGTAATCCAATAAATTTCTTATCACCAGGACTTTTAACGACAACAGGAAACCATGCCACTCTAGTGAGGCAGATGTGTATGCATCTTTAGAGTCCTGAAACGGCTACAAATAAGCAGCTTCTAGCCTAAACTGGCTAAACCCTGTAGCCATGGCAACAGTAACAGCTCATTCCCACTGTAGGGCAAGGTGGAGGAACTGAGATGCTGTGGTCACGTTTCTCTCTAAAAGGCATCATTAAGAGATCATGAGTTGTTTTTAAATGATAGAAAGAAATTATAAATAGAAATCTGTTCTGCAGCAGGATGATGATTAAAATAAACATAAAATCCACCTTTATTTATGACCATGTTAGTCCTTTGACCTATAAACATACAGGTAGCCTGTTACATGAGAGGACCCAGGAGTCTCAGGTAATACTACGTCTCTATATTTGCTGATAAGCTTCAATGCAAAATGTAGTAAAATATTTTTTTGTGAAATATAAAACCAGGTTTCAATAAGCAAAACAAAAAAAGAAAGCCTTTATTATGAATATATGACTTAAATGGACTCACGCTTCATCAATGTTGGGATGAAATATCTTGTTCATGAATCCTGAAAAAGCAAAGTAAAAATCAACAGTCGCAGTCAAAGTTAAAAGCATCCCTAATCAAAGCTGAGAAGGCACAGCTCCTACCTATTGATGGCGATTTGAATGGGTATTTATCAGGAAGATCTACTCGCACTTTCCACACTCCTCCCTCGTATGGCGCTGTGCATGACAAGAGGAAAGAAGATGATAAAGGAAGTCTTCTGAGCACCCAAGATAGACTTACTTAACTCATTTTCCAGCCTTTAGGCAATCCTCTGGCTGCTAAATAGCATCAATTTTCTTCCCAACAACAGAACTTTGTGCCCTACCGCTCTGCTCCTTTTATAGGGTAATGCATTTCAGGCCTGGAGAAATCTTTACATTTAAATCTCTTCGGATTATTCATGGACATTGAAAAGGAACGAGAGTGATTTTAGCTAGTGTGCTGCTCTCCCAGAATAGCTGTGTGTAACAAGACCCTCATGTACTTGAAGCGAGCAGCACACAGACGACTGCAAACAGACTTGTTGTGGCTGAATGGCCTGTAATGGCCTGGATCATAATGAGCACATATGTCAGCATACAAAATAGCTGCAGTGCTTAATTCAGCACAGTTTAGAGGCATCATGAAGACTCTCTTCCCCTTTTTTCCTACCACTGCTCGACGGCCAGTGTGCCACAGATGTTTTGAGCAGCATAAGGAGGAAGTATTTCCTGCTGATAAAGCCATGGCTTCACTCTATCTTACTATCTGTGGCTTAAGGTCTGGTTTCAATTCATTTTACTTTCCTAACCACCTGTTTTTTTTAAATCACAGGTCTTACATTTCCACCCTTAAGATACCTACATATATTTTTTGTTTCATTTTTAATTACCTTTAAAAAAAAAAAACGGCTAAATTCATGCATCAAACTGTTTTGTATGGCTTAAAGTGCATTGTAAAAAAAAAAAAAAAAAAAAAAAAACTACCTGGCTAAATGGCCAAACCTTTCCCTAATATTGTATGTTGGTGTCTGACAAGGTGTGGAAACTAAAAGAACACATCATTCCATCTAAGTAAGAGGCTGTCGTTGATAATCTATTAGTGATGGCTGGCAACCTGAGCACACAGGCTGACCAATAAAGCAACCAGCATTATTTAAGATTGTTTAATTTACTCTTAAAAAGTATAATCTTGTGCTCAATAAGTTAAGGAGCTCCACAAGGTATGTTCGGTCCTATATGTTCTTATTATAAACATAGCAAACCACAGAGTTCTCTGAACTCTACTTTTACCTTTATGCTGATGAGGCAGTAATTATGTGCTCTTTTCCTACTTTTATAACATTTTAAAGTATCTGTGACATACTTCTAACGGACAACGACAGCTCAGTTGTTCCTTCTGTCTTTCAAAGGACCAAAATGCTTGTTTTTCACTGCCTTTTTCACTGCCTTAAGAAAAGCAAGATCAGCAGAGTCTGATGAAACTTTAACAACAAATTACATTTTTAGGATCTTTAAACAGTTACTTGTCTTTTAAAGAAAATGTTGACTGTAAAACTGAAGCTCTTATTAGGATTTGGTTAAGGATTTGGTAAGTCTTGCTTTTCTGTTCATATCAATTTCAAATACTAATTAACCTTTCTTAATGTCTTTGCATGTTTGATAGTGCATAACAGTAATAAAAAACAAACAAAAACTAAGAACAAAACCCTTTAGATTTCCTACCTATTAACAGCTCTAGAGCAGATTATTAAGGTCATCCCTACCTGCCTGTTGGCTCCGTCACTGCTGCATGTTCTAAAATGTAATAAGATGCTGACACCAAGGGTAAGATCTAAACTAGGAAGGCAATGTTTTGGGTTTTCAGCACCTGTAGTATGGAACAGTTTTTAAATCTGAATTTAATCTGCAAAATTTGGTATTCCTAATCTAGAGATCAGGTGTTTCTGTGCGTACTCATTGTAATATACTACTCTGATGTGTGATCTTTGCATGTGCACTGTGTTGCTTTTATCTAGGCCAAGTCCCTCTTGCAAAGCGATCTCAATTTCATAATTGTGGTTAAATGCGGAAATAAATAATTTGTACATTTAGTAACTATTTTTTAAGTCCCAGTAGATAAAAGTAATAGTTACACCAGTGGGTCCCAACCTTTTTCGACTGGTGTTTCCCTTTTGGCATTTTCTCTTACCATGAGTCCCCCTCTCAGTCAAAAGTATTGATAATTGCCCAAAAGTGGAACGTACAATAACTGATTATAAAATAAAAACCATTTTACCTAATCTTTTAATCTGAGCATTTAATTTGAGGATTTAATAGTTATTCCCTGGTTGGGAATCACTATTTTAAACAAGTGAATAGTTCATCTTTGTTTATTTCTCTAGGGATATTAATAATAGTTTTTCTTTTTAGTATAAAAAAAGGGTTGGTAGATGTTATGCATATTTAAATTCATTTTAATAACTTTGGTGTTTAATGAGAATTTTCTATAAGACGATTAACTTTTTCTAATTCATGAAGAACAATGTAAACGGGACTAAATTTAGGGGAGAGAATGTGGTTGAAAAAGGACTGAATTGTGAAGCAGAAATACTTACTTCCTTGTGGTCCATAAAACTTCACTACAAATTCATTGAGTCCACTGAGGATGGTGACTTCATGCTTGCTCTCGATGCTGAATGGTTGTTAAGGAAACCTGCTTTGTGATTGGACAAACAAAATGATCAAGATGCAAACATTTTTAACAGGAAAACATCAAAATGTGGTTGAAATATGGTTTCCAAGAAAAACAAAAAGCACACCCGTTTTATACATTTACTTCAACTGCTTTTACTAAAAATATATATATATATATATATATATATTCCCATTTTATATTGTATGCTGATTTCAGAAGGAAAATATGTTTAATAGTGTCACATATATGCAAGGAAATGTATTTGTTGGGACTAGTATCCGAAAAAAGGTGAGCTATTCTGTTGAAGCTTTCTTCAGCCCATAATATGTTATCCAAAACCTTATCATACATCTATCTCAGGAGAAAGTTGTGTTAGTAGAAAAAAGCTCAAAGTAGTACCAAGATAAACACAAAGCTGGTGTTAATTTACTAATAGAAAGCTTCTTATTCTTATGTGGCTTGTGCCACATAAAAAAACAAAATCAAATCAAAAAACTAAAATGTAAATGTTTCCTCTAGTTTCTGCTCTTCTAAAAATACCTTTTATTTTATTTTCCTTTGAGCAGAGAGAGCAACAAAACAAAGAGGTATAAATCAGGCATTAAATACCTGTGGTAAAAAAAAAAAAAGGCCCATAACCATAATCCGAGTCATTTCCATAGACAGGTGGTAAACATCAGACGCAAAGCTTCAGGATGTTGTCATTCATGTCTGAGTTTGTATCCTATCAGTGGCATCAGATAGCAAATGGTTAAATTGAACTGAAGGTTATTTTAAGCTCCAGCTGAATCTTCTAAGAGCAGAATGAATCCCTGGCTTCACCAAGTAAATGTGTCACTTTCAGACAGAAGGGGAAGCGTTGTGCTCAGATGTTAACTCGAGTCCGGGAGCCTAAAAATCCCAGACTCAAAGAAACCTTCATCTAAAGCTCAGCAATAACAAAAAAAAAAAAAAAAAACAAACCCCAGAAGCTGTTAGAAACAAGTCTTTCAGTTCTAAACTACTAGCAAAGTGTTTAGATTCAGCAGCAGGATATAAGAACGGAGAGACGTTTAACCAACAGTGAAACCACTGGTGTGATAGCAAATCTGCAAACAAATAGAAGATCGAGCTGGGCAGCAATGCTGTGGAGGGGGATGGGCTGTGACGGTTACACTGGAAGATAGCACTGTGAAAAGGTGGGGGAGCCATTAAATAATGAGGTTGATCTATATCGATAGATATAGATTCCACAATAAAAACAGGACTCCTCCTAATGTAGTTAAACCTGATTTATAAGCCTTTGGTCATAATAACCCCAGTTTAATATTAAGTTTCAGCTATTAATATGGTGGATCACACTTCATTGTTAAGGGCAATGTGTGCTTATCTATTTAGTAATAGTTGTCTTATCATCCAATAGATACTTTAAAAACTGGCCAATGGTCAATATGGTCTCTAGAGTCCAAAAACACTGTAATATCTATGCACTATCTCTAGGCAGTGATGCAAATATTAAATACATTAAAAACATTTTCCCCATGAGCATGACTAAAGAAGTGCTGGGATAAATATAAAGAATGATTCAAATGAATAGAAAGCACAAAATACATAACTGAAAGAAATATTTAAGGACGATACGATATTCATTAAGATTTTCCATGCATCCTATTAATAATTCTAATAGGATGCAAGTGAATTCTACATGGCAAGGATATTTATTTATTACAGCTAAAGTATTAAACAACAGTTTATGTTTTCCTGACGCTGTGCAACAATATTCTTTAGATGTCCTGTCAACACATGTACCTCAGTGCTGCTTTCAAGGTTTAAAAATTATTTTGTTTGTCCATAGAAATACTCTTTGACAGTAGAAGCAGAAAGTCTGATATATGTAAAAAAATATCCACAGTAAGGACCAAGATCACAAAATTTACAGTGTGGACATTTTAAACCGACATGGAGAACAAGAGATATACATCGAAGATGAAGTTTATTGTTTACCAAGAAAGATAGTTTGAAGTAGCTTAAATTTCATCTTTGAAAAAAACAAACAAACAAAAACTTGACTCTTAAGAGAAAAAGATTTAGTCTTAGTAGGCTTGGGTTAATTATTATTATATTTAACAGTATATACATAATTAAGGTCTTTTTATTTAGATTTAATAAAAATTTGTATTTTTTTTTTATTTCTTTGGCTGTGTTATACATTGGCTGAGTCATACAGCCATAAGGAAAGCTTGACCTCAAATTTGAGGGTGTGAAAAAATGTGTTGTCCATGAAACTAAAGAAGTGCAATCCGTATGTATGCAGCGGGCAAGTTACAAAACTTATTATTTTAAACAAAACGTGTGTGGCAGACCAGGAACTGTTTGAAGTGGGAGGAATGATCGGGTTTGACGGGTTAGGTAAACAAATAAACTGCATGCTAAACTAATGTATCGCCAACCTCAAAAACATTAGCATTCCAACTCCAAATTGCTATAGAGTCATATACGACATGAGAACGCTTTTATTCCCCACACCACGGGCCTGCTGATGTCACTTTTAGGTGACCAATACCGATTCGAATTTAAAACACTGAACACTTATTAAGCACACACTGTCCGCTTCAATCACAAAGGCAGGAATTCAACAGGTGCGCCGTTTAGCATCAAAATAACTGAGACATGCAAATGGCACTAAAGGACATCCATGTATTCAGTTTTTACGTCAAAGATCTTTCGGGGTTAAACTTGGAAAAGTATTAATAAACCCAGCATATATATTTTACTAAAAGCAATCAGAAAATTTCACAACACAGAGATCTCAATGATTAACTACGACAACCTGTTATTTATTTTGTACAAGCTAGTCATAGCATGAGAATCTCCTAACCTGCCCATGCTTTATTAGAACTGCACCTCTCCATGTGACACCGAGTACAGCAGGACGAGGTACATTCCATCTACCTCACATCACCCCTCCCATCAACAAAGCATCAATTAAGATTACTGTGTGGCGAGCAAGTTTGAACCTAAAGTAATACATTTTAGCTGATCTGTTTTTCTCTCTTCATCACATGATCAGATATTCTCTCTCATTGGCCTTTAATTTCAGCCAGCGAGGCTCTAGGCGGTCACTTCTCTTACAAGGCAAATAACATCTTGCCATCACCTTTTGAAGTGTTGCATTACACTTCAAAAAAAAAAAAAAATTGTGGCAGATATCCATCTCCGGAAAATTACAGCTCTGGGTTTTAAAGTTTGTGAGCCGTAGGTAGAGCTGCTTTGGAAGGATTGCTCCTTAAAAAAAGAAATCTTAACGTTCTGCAGAGCAAACAGCTTTGAGAATCTCTTGGTTTATTTGCTGAAATAATACAATAAAGGAAGGAATTTCCACCTAACTGCTGCATGCGTCAAAAAGTGACTGATAAATGTATAGTACCCTGAATATGAAGAAAATAATTAGGCACCAAAAGAGTTTTTAGGACATTTACATACAAAAGATTCTGTATTGTTTTGTCCTAAATGCTAATTAACTTTCTTGATTCCTCGTCCCACTATAAGGCCTCTCCATCCTCCAACTTGGATTAGTATAAATCATAATCTGGGGATAGTACCGGGTCAATATCTTTTTATATACACACATAATCTAATGCGAAGGGGCCAGTAAAGTCAGAGGAACAAATGCACACATCCTCCGATCCCACATGGGGAGACAAAGCTGCTTAAAACTTGTTCACATTCGTATTTTTTTTCATTTAATCCAAATATATCTACTTTTCCTAGAGTGAAAATCAGTCCCCAAGTTTGTGCAAAATTAATTATTTTTGATTTCTTTTTTTTTTTTGCGTGTCCGAGTACAGGTTATGAATGCAAAGGCCTGTCCAAAGATTTAGACGTTTCTCTCAGGAAAATAAAGACATGGAAAGCCACCAGTTCTTTTGTTTCTTTGCGTTCATGTATCATATAAAATCCAAATAAAACAAATGTAATTTTGTAGATATCACACCAACAAAATAACAAAGGAAATTTCTCTGCCGAGGTTTACCTATTTACTTATGATTATATTAATAAACAGTTCTAAATTGTTTTACTCCTACAGCACATCTTTAGAATTGTGTGCAGAAATATTTAGTAAATGACTTCTTCAGCAGCAGTGGAGATATGTTTGTTTTTATTCTGGTCCATTCAAGCCACTATCCCTGTTTGACCCAAGGATCAAAATATCAGCTCCCTCTCAACGTCTCTCCAAGTAGAGAAAACAAACACGACTTTGGACCATAAACAGCTCAGTGTCAAACAATGTGGTGCCATGTACACTCAAAGATCGCCTTCTTAGAGACTGTTTGTTGATCCTGTAGCAGCAAAGAGTTTTACAGTATCACAACTCTGTTTTATGTATAGGTATATTTTATTTTATATGGGTGGAGAATGTGTTTGTAAAAAGTTCATTTTAAAAGTCAATGCAGTGGTGTTTTTCTTTAAACGTTTCTTAATTAAACTGTGTTCAACATTGCCTCTTTTTATCTCCTCACATCCAACAAACTGAGATGACATAATTTTTATTTAATGGACCAACTTAAATCAGCTTAAGTTTTACAACCTGTAAAAGTTTACCAGGTCAAATTATGGCTGGATAATCTTTCACTAGATACAGATCAGTTAAAGCACAGTTAGTGATATGTAATACATTTATAAATCTTTGGGCTATTTTATGGAAACATGTATTTTTTAGATGATGGAATAAGAAAAAAAATCTTTTTGGTACTTATTAGAACTCTCGAGATGATAAAATCATTTTCCAGATTAAACTACGGGGTGACGCCTGGTCGCCTGGCCAGCCAGACTGACTAAACAGGGCGTAAGTCGGTCTGGGAAGGTTCAGACTCTCTGGTCTAAAATAAACTGGACCAATCATAGTGTAGAAGGTGGAAGTTTTTCAGTAGGCAATGATCAAGTTTGCGGCTTACAGAGGAGTAATGTTTTAATCATGCCCTGGATATACCTTTTAAACTTTACAAAGCTGTTGTTAA